TCTTTTTATGTCCCATACAAATCAAAGCTCAAATATGGCACGACAACACAGACGGGCAATGTCATCCTTGTGTAAAAAGATTCTCATTTCATGTGGTTTCTAGATGATTGCCCATTGATTACATATATATGACACTATATACATAGAATTTGTGTGTGTGTGTGTGTGTCTGTGTGTGTATTGTAGGTGAAATTCCCATCCATCCACCTATCCATCCATCCATCTATCTATCTATCTATCCCAGTGTTCTAATAGTTTTCATTGTGTTTATTTCATTTCTCCCTGCCACCCTGAATACAGGAACAGCAGGTGTAGAAAATGAATGGATGGAGATTTTAATCTTATACTGTTTTCAATTTTCCTTTTAAATCCAGTTTAATTTTAATTGGTTTTCAGTTTGGCTTTTTGTTAGTTTATAACGAGTCATTATTTGGCCCCTGTCACAGTCTCTCAGATCTTTATCTGTCGCAATTTCTTCTACATTCAACATGGCGGCTAAGAGTATCAAAAAAAAAACAAAAAAAACTAACAGTCGGTCCTTAATAAAGATACTTCACACTGTGATATTAAAGTCTGCAGGCTGTAGTAAACACAACTTTATTAGACAGCGTGTGTTAGATGGATGAAACAGCCTCTGTGAAAACCACCCTCTCCCAGTAACACACATCAGATACAAGGGAACAGGTGAGAACAGGCATGGGCCCAATGAAAGGGGGTCTGTACTTCAGCTCTCCACAGGAGGGCTGCTTTCCCTTTTAGTCCTGCAGCCGTCAAAGAGGATGGCTGGCTTGTTCTCAGACATCGCGGACTGATTAAAACAAATGCTGCCGAAATGTTCCTACACAGACGTGGCTTGGGAGCAGGTTTCGGTAAACGAGACGACTTGTGGCCCGAAATCTCTAACAGCTTTGTCAACATTTGTGACTCATGTTGTCATGAATCCATCATAAACTAGCTGCTTTCTTAACAATAAAAACAAACCCCCAGGTAGAAATATGCCTGTACTGTACCATGCAGTCTTAGATCATTTTTTAACAGTGCAAATTATACATATATTGTTTATATGAACCAGTGGTTTCAAACATTTGGTTCACACCTTACATTATCTGCACCTTCATAATGCCTTTATAATACATTCACAGAACATTCATAAGCAGCATGTCAGTATAGCTTGGCCTCCTAACTTGCCTTAGCAAATTTAATATACATTAAATCAAACATTATACAATTATATGATTATAATGTTTCTTTTTAGTCATATAATGTTAGTTATTAATGTATATTAAGCTATTCAGGTTTGTTAGGATGATAAGGCATTACTGTACATGCTGTTTATACTAAGAATGCATTATAAAGGCATTATGAAGGTGCGATGAATGTTCCATGAATGCATTTTAAATGCATTGTGGAAGTGCAATTAATGTAAAATGTAACCAGACATTTCATCCCAGATAGCAAGCACCAAATTAAGTGACCACTTTGACCTCAAGTATGATGTATTTCCGATTCTGTGCACATCCAGGATGGCCTTATCTCTACGAAAATCATTTCACATGCCACTGTTAAGAGCTTCTGTACTGGACAATGGACCACATGCACAGAATGTCTGGTATGTACTGACTTAACAGTAAGGTGTAAAAAAATGAACAACTACATGCTCCAGGTAATGAAACCCACCCTTTTACGGAAAGAACACCAAAAAAAAATGTGAGCCCATCTGTTCAGATAACGATCATCATAATTTAATTACGATTTGTTTCATACCTTACATGGCATAATAATATAAACATCTAATAATCTACAGAATTAATGCTAAATAACCTGGGAAATGCATGTGGCATGCTTGATTAAAAATAATTTTAATTCTGCACCACAGATTATTTTTTATAAGTAGAAAGATTTCATCAAAACTACGTCTTGTTTGTGCAGATGTATAAGCAGGTCTCAGTGTAAAGAAAAAAAAAATCTAAGCATGTTTTCTAGGATCATTATGCCACCCCTTCAAACTAAAGCAAGGCTTTTTTCAGACCTTTAATTAAAATGTCAGACACAGAAGGGTTCTCTCTTCAATCTCTCACAAAATCAATCAATCTCAAACTCTGAGACTCTTTTCAAGCAGTGCAGTGAGTACTTATTATATTCCAAAAGCTGTTTTGGGGGTGGGGATGGTGTGCATTTAGAGATGGAAAACTACAATGAATATTTGTTGTTTATACTGAATTAGAACAGTTCTCGGTAGACTTAGGCCAAAGTTACTGAGAACCTATTGTTAGCTTGAGACTCATGTTAATGTACTGTGGAACGTGGCCTTCACTGAATCTAGACTGGATTTTTTTTTTGTCATTTTCCCAATGACTATCTTCAGCTGGCACACGTACCTAGGGGTCTTGACCTGTCTAGGTGCCAAGTTGGCTGTGATTGTGTGAGTTGATTGTGCTTTGCTGTGCTTAAGTAGGTTGCTTCCTACAGAACACTCTACAGCACCTTCTACCTGCCTAAACATGCCACAAAAAGCTGTTTCCAGCAGTAACACTTACCGTAAAACACTAGATATGTTGCTTTGTCTTCAGGCCTATTAATTTCCAAGTGAGTAAATTCTGGCTTCCTATGTATGAGCCTCTCGTGCGTCGCCCCCGGCGGTGGGGTGAGAGTCTGACGTTAAATCAATTTTTGTTACATCCATTTAGTCTAAGGGAAAAATGTCACAGTGCACTGCAAAAAGCCAATTGAAATGTGTCACGAGGCATGTCCCGATATCTACAGTTTTCATCTGGTACTTGAGTCTCCCTGGTTGATGTTTACATCGGCTTTGCTAAGGGGCAGAAACCGGCACTATTTCAAAGCCACTGAGGCACCCATAGCACCAGAACCCCACTGGCAAACTTCACTGGCCAATTTAACTTTGTTTCGAAATGCAGTTAACCCCTTAAAGCAGATGTATAATTCTGTGTCGAGTCAACCCAGATACGCAGAACCTACACCAGGGGTGTCAAATCTTATCCGCAAAGGGCCGGTGTGTATGCAGGTTTTTGGGATAACCTTTAGGTCAGCTGTTCAAACCCAGGTGTGAGGACTCTTCAGCTAATCAGTCCTCTAATTAGTAATCTAATTAGGGAGTTGCAGCGAAAACCCGCATACACAGCCGCCCTTTGCGGATAAGATTGGACACCCCTGAGCTACACCATGGCCTCTGCAAGTGGTCTATTTATACCAGTGCGCGGTCTGCGTCACTGCGATGTGTTGTTGGTGTATAATATCAGGCTATGGCGTAGCGTATGGCATAGGGTATACAGCTATACCATGGTTACGGCGTAATGACGGGGTAGATCCTACACTAGTGGTGTGGAACCTGTCCCATGGAGGGCCGGTGTGGGTTTCTGGGATGGCCTCTCAATCAGCCAATAATAAAGCAGTGCTTCTCAACCCCAGTCCTGGGGAACCACTGTTATTGGCCGATTGAAAGGTCATCCCAAAATCTCTCACCCACACCGGCTTCCCGTGAATCAGGTTCCTCCTCCCAGCTCAACTTTGCGGGCTTGACTGACTCTGGCAGCAACTTCAGTATTCTGGCTTTCACTCCGCTTCTGCTCCAAATTATTTTATTGCAGCAATTATCTGAATCATAAATGATGTCCCTTGACGTTTAGGTGTAAACCAGGCGGTAATTATCCCGAAAACTGCGTTTCCTGAGCACCATAGCTGTCAGAGTAGAAAAGCTGCCGCGATATTTGAGAAGGTGAAAGGGCACCTCTTACCCTGCCAGAATTCCAGGGGAATCTACTGGGAGTTGGAGTGACAGATTATCAAGGGGACACCAGGAAAAGCATAATATGGAGGCAACGCCTTGTCAGTCACAGAAGACCAAGGAGCACCACAGACACAGATCATCTGGGGCCAAAATCCCTCCCAAGCAAGTCAGTTTAGTTTAGCATTACAAACTACATTGACACATACTGTAAAAATGCTTGACTAAAGACAGCATAGCTCCACGAAATCCAGCTCATTAAACTGTTTGCCAGAAGAATAAACCATTGTTTATATTAAAATCAATCTTTTGAAAACTATTGGAAATTAAGCATGAGAGTAGCTTATTCATAATGCACTGTGCTTAGTATGATAAATATTTAATTTATTTTTAATAACTTCTTCTCAGTTTAATTTTTTAAATTAAGGTCGTGGCAATTTTATGAGACAGGAAGTGTAATGCAGACCAGTTTCTAGACCTTTACACAGACACGCGAATATTCATAAAACTCATATGTCATATGTTCTCATATGTACATAGCATGAACGTATCTACCAAAAAAATTGTTAGAATTGTGTTATAATTGAATGAACATGAAGTAAAAGCAAAAAATGAAAAAAAATTTTTAGTAACATTAAATAAAATGAAAATTCAAAAGTATTAAAATGAAAAGAATTTTTCATCTCAAACGAAGTGTCAGTCTGTTGTTCAGAGTTTATGTAAAACACATAAAAATATACAGTTTAGTGCATATAGATACAGCTCTAGGAAAAACTCTGCAGCAAAATTTCACTCATATATCAATTTACAGGTGTGCATCTGTGAATAATATTTATTTATATATACAGTGATCCCCTGCTATATCGCAGTTCAGCTATCACGCTCCCACTATATCGCGGATTTTTCCCGGATGCGTCACAGTTCTCTACGTATGGCGTACCTTGCTTGTGGTCCAATTATTGTGAGCAAACTTCACGTGTTGTTTTAAGCCCTACGGTGGCTCCCAAGCATCCTGCATCTTCTAAGCTTTCTGTTAGTAGTGAGCCTAAGCGCCAGAGGAAGACCTTGACCATTTTTACACATTCCATTACGTATACAGAGAGACAGAGTTATGTATATATACATATACATTACATATTATTATCATTATTATTATTATGTTACTCATATCCTTAGCCCAACATGTACATATCATATGTGTTTACAAAGTGTGTTTTAATAAGTTTACATGTGTTAAAAGCATGTGGGAGGGGTATTTTAAGGTTTAAACTATATTTAATTTTTTTTTTATTTATATGGTCTTTCTATATCGCGGATTTTCACCTATCGCTGATTAGTCTGGAACGTAACTTCAGCGATAGGCTGGGGATCACTGTACACACATACATATTTTCCACACTGCAGCCTGGTTCTTCCCTGCTTCATATTGATGAAGGGCTTCTTCCTTGCTTTGTGGGTCTCCAGTCTTGCTTCTAGGAGCCTGATACGAACTGTCCTAGCAGTGCACTTCACACTTGGCTTAATGGTTGCCATTCCATTTAAAGGTCACATGATGTCATCCTCCGATTCATGAGAAACTGTCGGATAAATTAACGGTCATCTCTGGCATTAGAAAGTTGCTCCTGAACTCTACCTAGCTGGTGTTTGTTCACTGCTAGTGTCTGCTAATTCATATTTTTTGTACTGCCATCTTTGAGCCTGGAAGCAGCCTGTCTCGCAGTGTAACCTTCTGCCAGCAGAACCAGAATTAAACCAGCATTTAAAAATGCAGATTTTTTTCTCAATTTTTTCCGGAACTGTATGTTCAACATTCTGTTTAGCAGTAGCTTATTTTGCCAAACTCCCATCGCTGCAGATTACAAATTTGCAAATTAATATTTGCTTTGAGAGAAGCAAGCTCCCTTTCTGAACATTCACCCTCTTTGTACTTTCAGTTTCGGTTCATCCTGCCGGTGCTGGTTCCCAGTGCTGCACGCGCGGCCGGACGCCACAACGGCGTCACTGCATGGCCTCGGCGTAAATCTTCCGGAATTCTGCGACGAAGGAGCCCACCCAGCCGAAAAGTTCCTTGGAATCCTGCTCCAGCGGCTCCCCGAACTTCACCTGAGACGAGGGAGAAGCAGCTTAGCGCAGCGCCGAGGAGGTGATGAGCTCTCACCGCCTTCAACGCCTGCCGTCGCATGGAGTACTCGGCGCGCGGTTTGCCGCAAACCCCCTGTAATTTGGTTATTTATTTCAGCAAAGTCCTGTATCACCTGGGATCCCCGACGTCTAACCAGAGGGGAAAATGCGATCTGTCCAATGTCTAATGGCAATGCTTGGTTTAAGATTCCTTTTTAATTAATAATAGCATTAAAAGCCCAAGCACTTACTCAAGTAAGGACTTTTGGACAGTCATTAAAAGTTGGGGGGGGGGGGGGGGGGGGGGTACTTGCACTCTTTGTCTCCCCAGCATGGGGGGTGACGTGTCCCGGTTTAAAGTGCTGATCCGAGTTTAACCGAGCCGGGAAGAATCCGCAGTGCAGTGGAAGAGACGAGACAGAGGGCGAACTCGTGGAACCCCCCCCTTCCCCCCGCCGCATCCTACCTTGCCGATGCCAACGTATCGATTCCATGGGGACAAAAGGGACGATTGTGGGCCACCCTGAAAACGGCTCTTTGGGGGGGGGGGGGAGCACAGGGATGTGTCAGCGGCCACACTGCGTTTTGCCTGGACAGTAGCAGGACACGAAAAGCCAGCGGGGGGCAATTTTAAGTGTGGGACAGGGGTGTTACCAGGATGCCATCCTGGGATGGGCATCTAGGTATGTTCGGTGGGCACCAATGCTCAAATTTTCTTAGCGGTCTTGGGCACCCCCTGGCGAGTGATCTGTTGGGTGCACAGACGATCCATCTGGGTGGCACGGGGGCCCATTAGAGTAAACTCCCCACTGGATCGAGGTGCATCCACGCTCTCTGTCAGATCCAGCCGCTCGCCCATGCCACGCCAGCGCAGACATTCCTTGGGATGATTGATCGCTTTCGCCAAAATCAGGACATCTAGAAAATGCAGGTGTCCCACGGGGAAAATGGCCTTTGCTCCCCAGCACTAAAGCTATAACGCACAACACATGCGACGAAGCCCCTGCCGACCCAGATGGTAAGACGTGAATAAATGATATTCCCAACATGTAGGGATGGGTTTTTTTAGCGAGCAGTGGGTGGGCAGTTTTGAAGGAGTCTGACATTCTTTTCTGTCGCTTTGCCCGCCGACAACGCCACCTTCCAGCTATTTTAAAAACGACGAAAAAGATACATCTCACAAGGATCGACCGTCCCGTACTTGATAAATTCCATCGTAAGTGCAATCCATCAAAGCAATTAGTATTTCACTGCTCAGCAAGTTTGCCCCTGCATGTGCGCTTATCTTGACATCCCACCACCATTCCGACTTACTAACTCCGATACGACGGAGCCGCCAGACGGTCCCTCTGAGGACGACGGCCAGCAGCTGCATCCTTTTCCGTGACATTAACAGAAGCACAGGTGGCATGTTTTGCAATAACGGAGAAGACGGAGAGAGTATGCTTCCATTTTGGCTCCGAACAGAAAGCAGGCCCCATGGGATCAGAATGGCAGAAGCCCTCGAGTGTACATCAGCCTGAAATACAAGTTCTCCTGCTCCAATTTCACCAGATTAAACTATGAAATAACAGGATAGAGCAGGGCTAAGCATTAAGGCCTGGAAACTATCTATCTTTGCCTGCCAGGCGGTACGACACAGATGCCGAGATGATAAGTCGGGAATTACCAATATATCAGCGTAGAGTTTCTTCATCTCTTCACACTTCTTTGTCATCTGGGAGAGGTCAGAACTGATCCTTTCGATCGCCGTCTAGAGAGCAAGGCACAAGGGATTATTGGCTGGCTCAGTCATTCATTACTGCCTTGGAGTATATAACTGTAGGGCCATTTGGGAGGTAAATGGTGCTCTTGTTTACCATTACGCAACACACAGTGGTCCCATAGATGTATATTTGTTATTTTAGTTATATAAATAACATGCAATGGTCCGTTCCTTAATCCTTAAATCAAGAGAAAGGTAAACAGATTTACCTTCAGATCTTTCATGAACTTTTGATGTTGAGTTCCCTGGTTTTTTCGCTTGTATGTTTTTCTGTATTGAATGACCTTCTGCAGCTCATTCTTCAGAACTAGAAGGTGAGAATCACTGGCACCATCAATCTTCTCTGGCTACTGAAGCAAATCTCCTCCTTAATTTTTTTTTTCCCTTTCCTGGCTTTATCCACCCAAAAGAGGAGCATTAGTGCATGTGTCAACTGTCTTAACGAATAAATCAAGTCATCTGTGTACATAACTGGATCTAAAATTACCATTTTCACAGAGTTTAATATAAGCCAAAAAAAATCTGAACTCAGTCACTTTAAGTCATAGTTACATCTTAAAGTCGAGTCATCATTTATCACTTTACAGAGTTACAGAATATATTGTCAATCATTTAAAGAGTACATATGTGTCTTTAAATGTACATTAATGTTGCATGTCCCAGACAACTAATTATATAAAACTCATGTATTGAATGTCCTGTAATCATAATAGACTTACCATCAACCTCTGCAGTGAGGCCTTTAATTGAAGCTGTGGAAGACCACAAAAAGTTCATTCCCAAGGGGGTCACAAGAGAATGGCAGCAACTTTCAGTTTTGATCAAATTTTGATTAGCTTACCCCCTGGAACAGTTTCAAATTCCGCCAGCTCCTGGAAAAACATTGCCACCTGGGGACCGTGTAACCTGATCTGCTCTACGAGGGCATGCATCAAGGTGAACTTCCTGTCTTTCCCACGGAGCTGCGAGAGCTGCAGAAGAAACGCACCGGGCTTGAGTGTGATCCTGACCCCCACCGCTCAGAGCGGGGCCGTACGACCCCAAGCACGAGGAGCCGTCGGCGCACAGTGCCTTTAGACAGCCTCCGACAGCCCACCGGTAGGGAATCGAAGGGCCAGATCCTGTTTACCGACAGGGGAGACTCCTGTGTAACTGAAGAACGTGGAAGACGGCCATTGACAAATTTTCAATGACTTTCACATCACAACTTACCATTATGACCTTTTGTCAGTTTTAAAAGGAATTACATGTCTTTCTGTCCCGATCGTTTATTTCACCTTTAGCAGATCCTGCCTTGACTGTTTTGGTTAAAGGAAGTACAAAAAACAATCCTGTGTATGATAAATATTGATTTATAGCATCAAATTTCAGCATATTTCCAGAGACTAAAATAAAAAATAATAAATTTCACTCTTACAGACTATGTCTGCAGCTTTACAGTACAATGATAATGTGAAAAAAAGAACTAATAAACTCGATGTAACACAAACATTCAGGAAACCTATTACGTTTTTTCCTGAGTACCATTTTTCAGTTTAGATGATAAAAAATGCAAATGCAGATAAAATACTTATTTATTTATGCAGCAAAAACACTTCTACTCAAAGCAAAAATCAGCTCAGAAAGCGGGGTCAGACAGTCCTTGGAGCAACTGTGATAGGGGGTAGCAGCCAAAATAATCAACCAGGGGAATTGAACCAATGACCATCCAAACACAGGCACAGTCCTAACCCGTAGAGCGACACTCCATGCACCAAAAGGTAGCATAATTTAATCTAACTAGCCGTAATGGGTTTTGTAAGTTTGCTCATATACTGTATGTGTTCATACCCGGCTACTTTTATACCAATAAAGAAAATATTAAAAAACCTTATTTGTCAATCATGTTACCATGCTTGAGAGGTGGGCGGGTGGTCAGATACCTCCAGGGTTCGGAACCTGCTTCTGCTCTGTCTGTAATGGGCCATTAGAAGATAGACGGCCACAGTTCTGGTCCAATTAGTTTTTACCCAAAGAACCTTCTGTTTACATTGTAAAGGCATTTTGAATGATAAGATCCTCATTTTTTAATCTGAATTATTTAAACAGAAAACCATTCTGATCAAAGCAGGGTTCTGCCTGATCAAGGCACATTTAAGATAATCAGTCTTTTGATGTTTTAGTCTTTTCTGGAAAGGGCTCATGGAGTTGGAGCCCTTAATAAAACGTCTAGGTAGTAATAACGACACGGCTAACGTCTAAGGAAATCAAGGGTGTACTTGTCGACATTGCTTAATTAGAATGCTGTGAGAGCCCCATCTAATGCGGCAATGGGATTTACTGGCTATTCCGTTTCTCAGCCTCGTGATGTTGATATCCAGGTAACCTCTGGAGGAAACAGCTAAAACACCTGCACACAGCATGAAATGCAGGAATGGATACAAGCTCATGTCTCCGTTTGTCTGAAATAAACAAATGCAGGCACGCCAGGCAAATGCCACACATCACAAACTTGCTAACTTTTATGCAGATGAGAAATGCCAGATTGGTCTATGTCACAGTCGTTTCACTTCCATTATCTAGCCCAGGGCTGTTTAAATCACGGTACTCGAGGTCCGAGCCCTGCTGGTTTTCCAGCCTTCCTTTACCTGTCAGTCAGGTGTGAAGCCTCTAGTCAATCAGAATCAGTAATTATTAAAATAGCTACCTGGGAGAACTGAAAACACGGCCTGGATTTAGGATCGAGATCCAGACTTGAGGAGCCCTGGTCTAGCGTTTTGTTCAGTGTTCAAAACACTGCATGTATCCCCACCCCTCGAATAATGTGACAGTTTTTCATCATGAGAATAATTCAAAGCTAACCTCTTACGTAAGTTTCAAAGCTGGCGTGTGATTCGCATCCACAGTGAGAGATGCACGATGGGAATTTCCTGAGGCTCCGTTCCTGTTCACCTTATAACTTGTCTGTCACATATGCACTTTTTAATTTCTAAGAAGTGGCCTGCTAACTGCTGACTGGACAGTTTCCGGGGGCTCAAAGAGGAAAACAGAAAGTGGAGGGAATGAAGCTGCACCACTACTGCCACACACTCTGGCCCGTGGCCGTACCCTGTCAATCAGAGGTGAAACAGCAGAGCTCACCTTGGTTAGCGTCAATAGTCGGAATCCTTTGGCTTTCTCTTTCCCTGCATTCTCGTTGAGGTAATTGCCAATGGCAAGAAGGTACTCCAGGACAGTCACAAATGATCTGCAGTTGTACAGCTCTGAGCACATCCTTATCTTCTGGCTGATCAGCTGAAATGCACGGACATGAACATTAGCTCTTCCTGAAGATCTCTGAGGCTAACATTGTGAGCCATTCGGAGCACAAAGTCAACCATGGACACTATATTTTAATATATTTTAATAGGTGAAACCTAAACATCACAAATGATCTACTATTGTACCCCAGCTTTCTATAACCATTGAACACAATGTTTTTCCTGAGACGTCCATCCTTGGTTACCATTGGCAGAGAGTTTAAAAACCTTAGGGTTTCTCCAGCAATAACAACAAGGGTTTCCCCTGGTACACACAGTACTGCAGATACAATTAGTTAACTTAGTCTACTCAAACTTCTAGAGAAGCCTCAGAACCAGTACAATCATTCTTTAAACAAGCATAAAACTGGAAAAAAAAATATTTCTTTTATGCAGTATATGCCACGTGTCACTTATACAAATGATATTTAAAGTCACGCTTGCTAATTTCAGATGTAGGTCCAGAACACCGTAAAAAACTGCATCTGACATTAGGATAAATTCATGAAAAATATTATAAATTAAGTAATTCCGGAAAAGATTATTAATGATGTAATTAATTTCAGCTAATGTTTACTTAATCATTTAGTGGCAAAGCTAAGCAAAATGATAATGCTATCGGCACAAATTGACATGTGTTTTCGGTAACAGGTGCAAACAAATTAAAATGTAAACAAGCACATACACATTGGCGGCTGGCCGCGCCAGACAGCGTGAGCGTGACCTGGGCTTTTACCAAGCAAACGTCCAAACAGCATGAAGCAAAAATCAAATAAAATAGGTGAAAACCTCAACTCGTCTTCTGACAGTGATATATTACGGTCTTTGCCAGGTCTCATTGGGTAGGACAGGAATCCCAAGGGTGCAGGAGAAAGTTTAAGGGCTGTGAGAGGCGTTGTGGGATGTATAGGGGAAGGCAGAGTCTCTGGGCCCAATGAATGGTGTGACAGCACTTGGCATTAATGGTAGAGAGGCGTTGGAGAAGGTGGCGGTGTGTCGATCATTAATCCGTTCCCGATGCAGGACCTCAGAGCCCTTTGGAGTTCTGCACATGCCTCTTCGATGCATTGACTCTGTACCCATTAGGTTCCCAGACACACGATCCGGCTCCCACGGTCCGCGAGAAACCCTCCCACCTTCACAGTCAAGGAAGCCAGCGCCACCCTCACACAAACAAAGCCCACAAATCCATCAAGAATGGTGGCTCACAGAGCCAGATAATCAGCCCTGTCACAGACACCCCCTCTTAGATTCCTGCCGAGGTTGTCCACCACCATACTTGCTAGACAGTGAAAAAAAATCCTCTTTAATGTTCCCTGGCTCATGACGTCAGGAAGGACCAAGCTTTCAAGTATTAATGGGAAAAGTCCTGAGTGCCCCTCATACTTGTGGTGAATACCAGACATTATGTTTTAGCTGTCTAACATTATGCTTGAGAATATTTCCCAAACTCTATAAAATAACAAGAATCTGGGGCACAATTTTTTGAACGTTCTCTCAATCTGAAAGATTGTCCTCCGTTAATTCAACGGCTCAATTTACCTGCAACTGCACAAATGAAACTAATCTGTTTAAATTTCGTATAATAAATTCAAGCATCATTTCATCCTCCTCATTTTTAGACACAATTCTACTTCTATATCATTCACACATTGTTTTCTTCCATTTTCAAAATGCCCATAATTAGTTTTAAACATCACTGCGCCAGGAAGACAATACAGACAGAGGTCAGTTAGAATGACTGTGGACTAGGTATAAAGGAATTCTGCTGTGCATGATCAAAATAGTCTGCAATGATTTGTTGCCCTAAAGATTATAATAAACTTCAAATTAAAGTAGACACGAAAAACAGTGATTTTGCATATATTACTCAGTAACTGTCTGCTATAACAATGAACAACTGAAATAATCCAATTTAAATGGGAAGGAACATACCTGGACTGGAGATGAAAACCACAAAAAAATAGCATTATATGAAGGTGTCATACAGAAGACATTCATCAGGTTTTATGTGACTAGTTAATAGTCCCTGGGTAATCAAGCACTAAATATCACGCGTGGAGGTACAATTACTTCCGAGATGCTGAATCGATTCACAAAATGGCTCAAGAGAGACGCTGAGCCATTGAACGAATCACACGTAAACCAAAGATAACCTTTCATTAATCAATGCCCTTTAACACTCCATGTCTGTTGACAGTTTCCAAACGCTTCTTCAGACTCTTTTGTATGTATGTGTTATGAAAAGTTAACCAACTTCTTCTTTCTTATTTCAGCTCATAAAGTCCTTATTTGCTTCTATTCAATTCATCAGACCTGCTCAAGCTTTGTTTTGTCTCCTGTACATGCAATTATCATTTCATCCCTGAAGGTTACCATGGGAAACTGGTTGAGGATTTCTCTTCTACCAGAGGTAACCCAGTTTCCTGCCAATCAAAATATAGTCAGCCCTGCACATCTGCAGGTTACGCATCCGCGGATTCAACCAACTGCGGATCAAAAATATACGAAGAAAAAAAATAAAAATTCCAGAAAGTTCCAAACAGCAAAACTTGAATTGAATTCACTATGTGGATGATGTGATGTATAGTCATAGTCTGCTGCAGTCTCCTGTCACTGGAAGGAAAATTAATGAATTTATATTTTCTCTATGTATAATAATATTTTCCATATGTACCTGTATTTTAAATATTCTGTGTTTTATTGTTCTCTTTGTTCTTCTCAGGTCATTAAAACAAAAGCATGATTTAAAGTATATGGCAGGATGTGTGGTGGTTATATGCAAATATTGTGGACTTAAATGTCGACAGATTTTGGTAACTGCGGTAGGTCCTGGAACCAATGTCCCGTGGGTATTGGGGGCTGATTGTAGATCTTATTGCAGTCAGTAACGTTTAACAGTGAACAGTGAACAGTGAACAGTGCCCCAGCCTGTTTTTCCTGACACTCTGATCACATCTTTTGCAAAGATCAGCGCACTTGGACCAGTGGAATCCCCTGTGATTTTGGCCAAATGATTGTATCAACTGCTTTGTCAAGCTTTTCAATTTTTCCTGAGGCACTCTTACACACAAACACACCCCCCCCCCTCCCCAGCAGCCTGTCTCATGACTCCCTGGGGATTCTGATGGTTGTTTTTAGGTCCAAAGGCATTAGTGCAAATATACCAAATGGGTGGCATGTGGCTCTGCTGGTGAAGCCGCTGTGCCTGTGATTGGAATGGTGGTGCTTCATGCCTATGGCTCAGCACACGACTGTGGTTCTTAAACAAGGCCCTTAGCCTCCAGCACCAGGGCCACTGCATGCGGGCTGACCCTGCGCTGTGACCCCCGGCACACCAGGGGGCGCTGCATGCAGGCTGACCCTGCGCTGTGACCCCCGGCACACCAGGGGGCGCTGCATGCA